ATATATGTATATATTTATTTATTTATGCATATTTTACATTTTGTCTAATTTTTATCTAAATGATTATATGAAATATTACATCAACTTTTCCGGATTCGTTTTAGCACGCGCTAAATACATTTGTTACATTACCTTTCGTAATATATGCTGTAATAGACGAATACTAATGATACAACTTCATGAACCAACTGTTATAAATGGTCATATAATCATGAGATGAAGATTATTAACTTGCGAACTTATTGTTGAATTTCTTTACTATTCGTTTTTTACAGTCAATATTCCCTTAATAATGTAATTATATATTAATGGACACTATTAATTCGATAATCCATTATTACAAAACATGTAATGTGACTACTGGTTAGATGTTACCACTTTTTATTGTACATTCTTTACGAACATCATTCAGAATATTAATTATCAGATCAATCATTTGACAATTCCGATGTAACCTCTTTAGATATTAATAGTTCCTGTTAAATCCTTGACATTTATTTAACAGGAAAGGTTACTACATAATTTGCATATAAAATTCGACAAATATTTGAAAACACTACTGGAATAGAATCTTGTTATGAAAGTTATAAATTTGTTAAATTCTTAGGATAGGATTTAATTAAAATCTCATAAAGATTTTTCATGCTTTAAATCTTCAACATTTTAAAAAATTAATATAAATTATTAAAAATTAAAAATTTTATTAAACTTTTATTAAAAATTATTATATTAATTGAAATTTTAATTGGGATTATATAAAAAAAGTTTTTAATTATTATAATAAAATCTACTTCTGTAAATGTGCACTTTCGGGAGGGCCTTTTTATTTATCCGCAAAATTTTTTCAGAAAGGTCCGCACAAAAGAAATTCTATATCTTTGGCGATTATACCTCACGATTTAATCGACTCTCTTCCGTGTGTCCATTAGCGACAGTCGCGTGATTAGAAATTTTAACACTCAATTGCGTAACATTTTACACGATCTATACACGACCCAATGAGAAAAAGGCCATCGAAGTCCATGTCACTTATCTGACACATCTCGCGGACTTTCGCTTTCTCCAAATGTAAATGAAATATCTAAAGATACTTTGTAAGAGTGATCGATTGTTTACTTAATCTGCACGGATCGCATCTATCACATAGCATTGAACAAATTAGGATAAACATACTACCGGGTGTCCGCTTATTATGCTCTAATAATTGCCCTACTTGTCACATGCAGCGAGAGAATATCGTTTGAGATAAAAATAATGCCTGCGTGTACCTGCATAACGGAATTTCGAAAGCTTCTTTACGTGTTATTGCGTTGCGTTTTAAATTTAAATGATCCCTCAAGACTCTTGAGAAAGCGCAGCCTCCTCCTCTTTCTTAAAGTCTTTTGAGCATCCTACAGTTGCAAGAATAAGATGATTACTCATGTCACCGGTAAATGGTTTGCAAATAAATCCCGTCATAAATTCCATCAAAGATAACTTCTAGCATTCTACGGGAGCAAAAAGGGACGGTCTATACTTTGCAAATCACGGTTCTGTGTTTTTCGCGAAATAATATTTCGCAGACAGTTGCAAGGTACTTTGCAAAAATATTGTTCGTGAGTCCCTTTACATTTACATAACGTGTAATTTTCAGAGAGACTTGAACTTATACCGGCTTTAATAAAACGGACACTTCTTATACAAAGTTTCCATTTACATAATAATGTTCTACGCGGTCTTCTGGATCAGTTTAATGAATGCCTTGAGGATGGATATGCGTGCGTGCGTGCATGCGTACGTGTGTGTGTGTGTGTGTGTGTGTGTGCGCGCGCGCGCGCGCGCGCGTGTGTATGTGTGTGTAATTGTATCCTCTCACGACGAATTTATGATTAGCCATTTTAGAAATTAGCCATTTCACAAATAAACAACTAAATGTGTTAAATAAGGATATAAACAAAATTAATTTAAAACTATATATTTAAAATTAACAAACACAAATTTTACTGCAAATTAGTTTGATAAGATTATTTTAAATGTGATATAAAATATAATATAGATCTCTCTTAGTTTGGTTTATTTGTTAGTTTGAGAGTGCAATTCTGAACCTTTGCGAATTTAAGGTCGCTTTATAAGATAGCCATTGATAACCACCATGCATTGTAATGTATTTACATTTTCTTATCCAAATAATGTAGTATATCTATGTTTTCACATTTATATATTGAATAATGCTCACAATCATTCATAACATTGTACACACATAACGACGAATTTTATATATTTTTATAATTACTGTCTAAATCATATCATGTGTGTCATCAATTTCACGTTATTGTCTTTTAAATGAGTTGATTTTAAATTGTATCAAATTTAACATTGAGAATGATCCAATTAGGATCAAAACGTTTGTGATAAACTTTTTTATTTTTTAATAACGCAGCATTAAGACTTGGCTTGTAGCTCTATACTTATTACTTATTTTAATATCTATACATTCGCTTCTGATTCTGTGAGCCCACAAAATCGGAATATTGATTTGGAATCTTTTTAATGGAAATTAAAAACGTTCAGTTCGCTAAGACTTTTTTAGATATGAATTATCCTAATAAAACAACATTCTCAAAATTCTTTTAATAAATTCTTCATAAATTTCTATTTATTTATGCATTATTTATGCATTATTTATGTTTTAATTATACGTTGAGATTCAAAAACTTTAATTATAAAATCGTAAATTTTTTTTTAAATTTTATTACATTATGAACTTTAGAATGGTAGAATATTTTTGCCACAATTTCATAATCTGTATCGTTTCAAACCGACTTCAGCACTTGTATAAAACCTTTCACACTAAGCAAGACACAAGGGAGAGGCTATCTTTTTCCTGTGGCGCACGCGCTGCTTTCAGTATAAATTATAAAGCTAAAGGTCACCAGACGCGCTTCTTCGAGACAGGATTATCGTTCGTCGAACACAGATGCCGTCGCGAACAGTTACGACTATTTAATTCGTCAGTCAGAAGTGCCAGTTGAATCTGATGAAATGAAACATGCAACCATTAATGAAACCATATCTCGACTTGCAGGTGCCAGATTATTTATACATATTAAAGAAACAAATAAATATTGTTACAAAAAAACATTTTTGTTGTAATATAATAAAGAATTGTAATATAATAAAGAATAAATATGAAATATGTTGCACACTAAATATACCAAGTACAAAAATTAAATAAGAAAAGAAATGAAAAATTAAATATAAAAACAGCATACTAAATA